TTTAAGACCAACAGCCAACGAGTCCTCAACACCACCGAAAAAAAGACAGCAACAAAAGCTCGAGACACTTTTGCAGGAGAAACAGGCGCATGTTGACAAAACTAACTGGGTTGTTAATCTATTTTTTGGGTCCAAAGAAAAGAAAAGCCTAAACTTCGTCAGAACTCCTGACAACATACCTGCTACAGAGATCATTGCCAAGGTTAATTCAGCGATGAGACCGCTCGATCCCGAACAAGCAGACACTGGCAAAAGAGCTGCAAACGGAATCCTTTAACTGGCAAAACCACCAAAGCCTAACGTCACAAAGGAAATTCAGGACGCAGTTAAACGTCGAAAAGAAGACAAGTCCATCAAGATTTTACCATCAGACAAAGGAAGCGCCAGTGTTTTAGACGCCGACACATGCCAGACCAAGATGTCCTCCCATATCGAAAACGGATCGTATCAGCCCCTGAACAGATCCGACAGACCGCCTGACGAGGAAGTTGTCTGAGAAACTGCTAACCTTGAAACGAAGTGGATATCTACCTGAGGCCTTCTACTTCAAGATCAGACCACAACGTAAAGGGCCGCTTAGAATCTACGGTTTATCGAAGATTCATAAAGCTGATATACCTCTGAGACCAAATGTGTTTTGCGTGAACACCTTAGCATATAATTTGTCCGTTCATCTAGCTAGCATCATATTTCCATTAACAGGTAACTCAGATNACATTGTTGTGTTTTGCAGCCCTGTGTCTGTCATAACCTCCTCTTGTTTTGCATTTCTTTCCGCAGTCATGACAAAAAATTTCTTGACGCTGAGCCTACAAAGATATTACAAACATCACCATTGTAAAATAAATAAACTACTTAAGAGTTTAAAAATAAAAATTCGGTGGCCACTTTTTTCGATCAAGAGAGTATCGTGAAGTTGCGAAGCTCTATCGATTACAAGGTATACCACTTAAAATAATTTCGACAAATCACTACATTCCTGAGATTTGAGCTCTTTAGAAGCTGTATAATAATAATAATAATCATAATAATAACACCTTTATTTAAACACGATAATGTTTGAAAGCTGAACAGCTTGTGGGGTCGTGTGTAAATCAAATAAACTTCTGAATTAAATAAATTCAAATGATGGTTTTTGAGGAGAGAGGAAAATCGGAGTACCCGGAGAAAAACCTCTCGGAGCAGAGTAGAGAACCAACAAACTCAATCCACTTATGACGCCGGGTCCAGGAATCGAACCCGGGACACACTGGTGGAAGACGAGCGCTCTCACCACTACGCCAACCCTGCTCCCGCTTTTTATAAGTCTTCCTTGTTTCGTAGGAGCCCCTAAAGAAGATTGCCTTTGAAGAAACTGCAATATATAAGCATGGTTTATATGCGAGCCTTTGTTGAATTTCGTTTGTACACGCGTCGAGTAGCCCATCTGTGGCAAATTTAAGCTCAGTAGTGCAAAATTACAACTCGAAATTGCAACGTTTTCGACTTACATTTCTAACTGCGACGGAAAAATTTTCCTCTACTTCGTCATCGTCTTCCAAAATACCCAAGATCGCCTCAAAATCTCACCACACAAACAGATCGTCTTCACCGTCCGCCACCTTGAATGAACTTGTGCACGGTCAGAGTCACGTGACAGGTCTGTTCAACATGGTCAGCATTAGATTCCATCCACCAAAACCACCTCGGTCGAGAGGGACTGAGATGGAATTATGGACACCTCATGACGTATTATACTTATCAATAGTTATGAAGCTACGAAAACATGCCGATTCATCCCGATGACTTGAGTGGAATTTTTGTTTGGAAAATTGCGTCAAAACTTTACACCCGAGAAATGGTAAGTACTACTTTATTGTTTGATGGTAGTATTATAAAACGTTTCGCGCAATTTTAGGCAGATACTTCCGATATTTGAAAGGTGCCAAGGTATTTGGTAGTTTTGGTGGATGTCGGGCGTGGACATCCACCAAAACAGTGATCAAAACCAACAACAGTACTTTTTGAATTTTATCTATGGCCAATGTTAGACCTTCAAGGAAGCAAAAGAATTATATTCCCCAAAACATTAGCAGTTTACGTTCTGGCTAATTATTTCTTATAATGCACA